TGCCGCAGCCACCGTATTCCCCAGATCTGACCCCCTGTGACTTTTCTTGTTCCCGAAACTGAAGAGGCCCATGAAAGGACGACGCTACGCTACGATTGAGGAAATAAAGACGGCATCGAAGGAGGAGTTAAACAAGATCACAAAAAATGATTTTTTGAAGGTTAAGAAAAAACGTTGGCACAAGTGTATAATATCTGGTGGAGATTACTTTGAAGGGGACAAAATAGATATTCATGAATAAATAAATTCGCGATACTTTATAAACAACCCTCAAATTTCATGCTGTGAGTTACATTAAGTATGCAGAATCAGGTAAAAGGAAAACATTAGAGGCATGGGGAAAAATGCGTAGGTACCTAAGTGGTTTACTGACTAACGAAATAAAAATTTTATCGTGCGTGGAGAAATAATTAAGCAAAAAGCAACATAAAAATTCGTTCACAAATATGTACCTACTTAAAATAAAATTACGATTAGTAGGGGTCGATTACAACGCTTTAGAATGATTTGGAATTCATCTTTATCCAAAAAATTTCCTTAGGAAAATTATATGTTCAACTATTATATTAAGTATTATAAGTAAGTACTAATATGCTAATTATAGATGTTTATTCAGTTTTTGTTTAACAAAGCAATATTGGGGTTAAAAGTACTTTATTTAAAAAACAACAACAGACATTTCGCCCAGGCTGTTGCTATTTCTCAAGACTAGTTTTATTTAGTCAATAATGAAATGCTGATGGATTTTTGGTTAAGTGGGTCACGCTCTATTATTAACAAACAATAACAAGAGCTACTCAAAACGTTATAGAACAAACAAAATAGCTCAAACCCCAACGCCAAAACACGACACTTTAGTTGTTCGAAGCACATTTCGGTAACAAGGTTACCTTCTTTAGGGACTGAAGTGACCTTTGAACCCTGATTTGTTTCTAATTAAACCTTCATGCCTGAGAAGAAAAAAAACAAAAAATCGGTTGTCTGTAAAGTCGGTTTACTGAGGATAGTTGAACGTGACAACGTCATAAGAAAATACTGATGGAATGGTTTCATTTTTCAAAAGAAAATTGTAATTTTATTTGTTTGATAGATATTTTGTATGGATATAGAGAAGGAGGTAAATGGAAATGTATTATTGTATAGCAGCTGTCCACGCGGACGCATCGCTCATTCAAGTAGGAGAGAGACAGATGTCGAACGCTACCGAACGCGGAAGCCGATTGTGCCTCTTTGTCGCTCGTTCCGCGCTCTCGCTTGCACTTCAAGCCTTAAATGGAACGCCTCAGAGAGAGGTAACGCCGCATGAGTCATGTTTTTTCGTGCGTGCAGCCGGCTCCATCGAATTATAAGACGTTATCACGTCAAAAAAGTTTTAAGAAAGATCAACAACCTGAACGAAACGTCGGCTGAGGTTTAATAAAAGACACTGTTCTTCAAAAATAAACCGAGCGGCATGGCCTAGAGGTCTAGTCCATTACTTATCATTTGGGAGGACGCCGGTTCGATTCCGGGTCCGTCTGCCTTGGTCCAAGTTTTTCTGTGGTTTCCTTGGATCACTTAGGTAAATGCTGAGGCAGTAATATTCCACAGATAATATAATCTTTCATTCTTTTCTGTCTTCATTTCGTCCGTCTCATCTTTCTCACCCGTAACATCACGCACCCATCCCCACGATTCCTGAAAGGAGTCTGAAAAGGGCCTTCCGCCCTGTCTTCCGGCGTAGTCCGAAGGGACTGCCTGCCTACCAGCATTAGTGGCTGGTGGGAATGAAACACCCAAGTATTTTTTTTTTCAAAAATAATAAGCAATAGTAACAAACTATTCAAAGTAACAGCAGTTAGTTAATGTATTTTATGTATGTACATAGGGTTAATTAACGTATTTATTGTACGCATCTTATTAATCAGACATACATTGGTCCTTCGAGTTTTGTTTTCCTCAGCAGATTCGCTAACAAATTTGATAAAGCGCAACAAAATATTTAGTGAAGAATATTTTCGTTTTTATTTTTATTGAGATATATTACTGGGTAATAGATAGGTATGGCAGCTAGAAGATTTACTTTCAGTTCAGGACGCAATGGGTACCTTTTGTACAGGTATATACGTATATAATAGCCATAAAACAGCGCTAGCGTTTTATGGTCCATAAACATAGCATTTCAGCAAATTTTCTACTCTTATAATGCCTACTAAAATTACGGAATATAAGGAATAATAGCATTTTTGAGATTAAGTAGGCTTTTGCATTTTAATTCTCGTCATAAATCGCTCCGTCTTGAAGCAATTGATGAACAAGCGGACATCTCATCAAAGATTATATATGGCCATTTATTAAGAATAACCCTCAGGCAGTAAATAAGTGTTTTTTACAAGTCGAACTCGCACTCCGAGGGTTCCCTACAAATTTGTAGGTTTGTAAATATAGGGTTGTTCGGAAAGTCATTTCGTTTTTTCCCGACAGAGGATTTAATTGTATTCTTTTGCACCCAACTTCACATTTAAGCCGTATAATTTTTATATGCTTTGAGAGCTCATATAGCAAAGCTTGTGTGTGAAAAATTCCATTTAATTCTACGCAGTAGTTTTTGGTTGGTGCCCATTTAAATATGGAGAGCGATAAGCAGCATTTTCGACATATCTTACTGTTTTACTACAGAAAGGGTAAAAATGCTGTTCAAGCCAGAAAGAAATTGACTGATGTGTATGGAGAAGGTGTGTTGACAGTACGCCAGTGCCAGAACTGGTTCGCTAAATTTCGATCCGGCAATTTTGATGTCGAAGATGCACCACGTTCGGGAAGGCCGGTTGAAGCTGATAAAGACGCGATAAAGGCATTAGCTGATGTGAACCGGCGAATAACAACACGTGAGATCGGATTGAGGTTAAATTTATCAAATTCAACAGTTTATGACCACTTGAAAGGCCTGGGATTATCCTCGAAGCTCGATGTATGGGTTCCCCATGTTCTCACAGAGAGAAATCTGTGTCGCCGCATTGACGTCTGCGATTCGCTTCTCAAACGTCACGAAAATGATCCGTTTTTGAAGCGCATCATCACTGGGGACGAAAAATTGGTTGTATACAACAACGTCAAAAGCAAGAGGTCATGGAGCAAAAAAGATGAACCGGCTCAAACCATTTCCAAAGCCGATATTCACCAAAAAAAGGTGATGCTGTCTGTTTGGTGGGATTTTAAAGGAATCGTTTTTTTGAGCTTTTACCGGATAACACAACGATTAATTCGGAAGTCTACTGTCATCAGCTGGACAAACTGAAGGATGCACTTCAACAGAAAAGGTCAGAACTAATCAACAGGAAAGGTGTAGTGTTTCACCAAGACAACGCGAGACCTCACACAAGTTTGGTCACTCGCCAAAAGCTTTTACAGCTTGAATGGGATACAATGCTACACCCACCATATTCTCCAGACCTGGCACCATCGGATTATTATTTGTTCCGGTCACTCCAAAATTTTTTAGACGGTAAAACCTTCACCTCAAATGAGGAGGTCAAAAACCTCATCGATCAGTTTTTTGCCAGCAAAGACCAAAAATTTTATGAGCGTGGAATTATGCTACTTCCAGAAAGATGGCAAAAGGTGTTGAACCAGAACGGTCAATATATAATTTAATTAAGTATTTGTTTATTATACGAAAACTGTCTTTCATTTCCACAAAAAAAAACGAAATGACTTTCCGAACAACCTTATAGTTAATCCGTCACGGGAATCAAAGATTTTTCTCACTTTTTCCGAGTATGATTTTATTTTCCTCCCAAAACCAGCCTCAAAACGTATAATTACATAATTACAGTTAAAAATTGTAAATCTTTTTTATGCTGTAACTAGAAATTTACAGTTTTCGCATTTCTGCCTTTGCCAACTGGAAGAACTCTACATGTTTTGATTCCCTTTCGAGTGTCAAAATATGCGGCTTAAATGGTAATATCTTTTGATTGTGTTGGCTTAGAAGTTTGATGTTTTCACAGCTGAAAGGTATTGTAGATCTGAGTATTTGATATTAAATTCAACTTGATACCTCCACGTGTTCTTGAGAAAAAGGGTCTTGACAGGCAGACACACATTTTTCCTTTTCAGTTGAATCAAAATCAATAACTATATATAATGTGATCATTGTACTCATATTTTCAAAAAAATTTTCATTTCGAACGATTCAGCTACATGTTTTGATGGCAAAATATTACTAAGTAAATATCTTTACGCAAATGTAATAATTATTTAATTATCTATTAGTATAATTTTACATATTAAATAGCTCAAACCCCAACGCTGAAACTCGATGCTAAGCGTCCGAAATATTTTTTGATAGCAATGTTATTTTCTTCAGGGCCTAAAGAGAACTAAAAACTAAAAGCAGACTAAAGAGGATTTTCTCAATGAGAATGGGTTCTTCGCTGATATTGTGGCTGAGTATATTGTGGTTTAGCTTCAATGGACATGAGTCAAAATTATTATTAGTTAAATTATTGCTACTATGAACAAAAGGAAGAAATAACTACGGGGAACTTCTTATCAAACATACATACAATTTAGACATCTTTTAGTTTAGTTTAATATGTAATATTATTCTGAAAATTCATTTCTGAAATTTTTTACCCACTACACGCTACCTCAAACTAATGAGGGAAAAATTGTTGCTGTTGTCACCCCCCGCCGGGAATCGAACCCGGGACCTTTGGCTTTATGCACCAATGTTCTGATCACTAAACTACCAGAGGCGACAACAGCAACCACGACCAACCGACCTACAAGGTTAACGATTCGTCGAACTAATGTAACTATTATATTAAATTATAACACTAAATATAGCCGATCATTTTACGAGTCGTTTCGAGAGCCAACTTAAGTCACTATAAGAGTATTTTCCTCGGATTTGGATATATGGACGATATTTTTGCTGTTTTTTTGTTTAAACATACATTTAACTTACCTTATCTTAAATAAAATATGTAAGCATTAAGATAAACATCTATACCTACCTGTAAAAATCCTCTTCGTCCAAATCAGACGCCGTTGGAACACAACGGCCAAAGGCGTAATCTGAAAAAAAAATTAAGATGAATAACCAATCTGAACTATTACAGGTAATAAATATTTTTACTAATTTATAATATACTCCAACGTTTCGTCACTTTATTTCTTCAGGGTTAATTGTAAAGCTATTTATTTTGGAGATTGCAAACTACATTTATTGATTCTCATATTTATTAGTTTATATTACATCAACCGCAAATCTACGTAAGCTAATCTTTTGCCCCTGTATGTCTATCTCTGAAGATGTTCTGCCTTTAATAATATTAATCCTATTTTCGTTTATACAAATTAAAAATTAGCGTTAACAATGAAAATATTTATCTAATTCTTTTGCTAATTTTTACTTTTACGATATGTTACACTTATTGAACGTATATATATATACGCTATAAACCCTAGGATCTATCCATTTTCTCTGCATACTACAGAATAATTAACAAATGGTAATTATTTTGAAAACCGTCAAGCGTAGACCCTAATATGCCTTAATAAAATAGAAAAAGAATTTAACTTTGCATCCGACGTTGTCAAAATTAACATGGCTTCCCATTTGAAAAAAATGAGTTATTGATGTTTGAATCATTTAAAATTTGAAAATCACTAGTGTAATGATTTAATGTGCTTTGAAAGAAATTTTTAGATGGAAAGCCAAGTGCGTTTCATGCTCTTTTCAACAGGGGCAGCCGCACCTTTTAAAAAACTATGCTTAAACTGGACATTAAAATCGATGCTGAATTCTAAATTGTAATAAAATACAGGGTGTTCCATTTAAAATAAGACAGCCGATGTATACTTCTGGTTATCCGGAAGTCCGCCATCTCTGAAATTATTTTCCGTAGATGGATTATTTGATCAGGGAAATTTTTTATTGGAAACATTGTCTTCCAATTTCAACGGCAAGACCGCTAGAGAGCTAGGCGCGCTTAACTGACTACCCTGTATAAATGGCATTCCTAGTTATATATACATACATAATAAAAGATAGAAATGCTAATCCTACAGTATCTTTCTTGAATTATTTTTGTTTATTTTAGACTTTAATGTTCAGTTAAAACAAACCGTTTGCTACTTTACCTACCAATATGCAAATTTGTTTTTGCTTACCATCATAACACCACTCCACATCTTCAGAACAAAGGCGCTGGCTGAACAAGCAACCTGAAACAAGGAAATACGATTATAACGAGTAAACAAACTCAACCTAAGTGCCTAAAACACTTTTCAAAATTACGAGATTAACATGATAAACGAATGCTGAATTAAAGCAGGAACCTGAAATTTACACACAATAACAAGCAAAAATTGTATACAATTTTATTTCTAGCCCGATGCATCTATGTTTTAAAAGAGTGATATTTTTTTAAGTTCTAATTCATTTGACGCATTGTGAGTAGGGGAATTTTAGCATGCAACGGAAGTTGCGCGCGCGGCGCGCCATTGTCAACGGCAGCTGTTGGTGACAACTCCAAATGGCTGCTTACAAAAAGGATTTGTTATCCGATAACAATTAAAATAAAAAAAAAATACAGAACATAAATTGACTTTTTGCATTAGCATTTAAGGAGATCATTGGTGTGTCTGTCTGTCGGTTTTTTTTCTATATTTCCTTAAATACATCCTACTAGCTTTTAGAACAGTATACGTATTTATAATTATTTAACATGGTTAAGGAAAGCTCATTTTCTTGTAGTTTTTATAAGAGTCGTGATTAATACAAAATACAAATATAAGTAGAACATGTAGGGTACATTCAACCCAGCATACACACTGTATAATCGTGTTGTACTTTTTGATGAATAAAAAAAGGATTTTATACCTATTTCCTTCTAAAGGAATAAACCATTATCTTCACTTTAGTATTCAATTGCTTCTAAATGATTTGATAAAAATATACGCTTATCGTAACTAAAATCTCATTCCATTATTTTTTGTGGCCAGGTAACTTTAGCCTATGTGGTTATAATGGTGTAAAAATAAATCAACCTTCTAGAGCAACGTGACTATTCAGTTCTAGAAATATTTCCATGATGTTCAATAGTAATAAATCGTCGTTACCCACAAACAATCCATTAAGGAAATTCGTTTTTCTTTTTTTTCAAATATAGCATACACCTACCTACACAGCAGTGTTTTTCATTAAATACTTTTTTGGCATAGTCAAGATTAAATCACTATAAATTAATTAACGGACCCTGATTTGAAATTTAATCACACAGAACTGTTCCACAAGATGTTAAATAGACTTAAAAATGTAGGGGTGGGATATAGAAATAGAAGAGCAATACATAGTTGGTATAAAGGGCAACAGACAGTTATATAGCTGGAGTAGCTACGCAGAGAATGGTCTAGACCATTGCTTAGCATTCGGGAGGACGCCGGTTCGATTCCGGGTCCGCCTGCCTTGGTCCAAGTTTTTCTGTGGTTTCCTTGGATCACTTAGGCAAATGCTGAGGCAGTAATATTCCACAGATAATCTTTCATTCTCTTCTGTCTTCATTTCGTCCGTCTCATC